GATGAGTTTAGAATAGAGTTATTTAATTAATATGTTACCAAAATAGTTTTTCTTTTTTCAAAACATAGCTCATGCCAAGAATATCTACATCCGAAAACAAAAAACGTGAGAGACTTAAACTGCCGCAGTAACCAAGATATTTTTTGGTTGAAATGTTAAATTTACTAGTCAAAAAGAAATTTACATATATTTAAACAAATAAAATGGAATAAACTGAATTTTAAAGTCTAATGCATTACGAAGTAGAAAACACAATCATGTAATTCTCCTTATACTAGCCACCGATGTAGGAGCTTATCATGCTTGTTGGCCTCTGAGTAATGTAGACTATCAATATATTCTCGAATTGTCCTGTCAATAGCACCAATAATGTGGGAAAAAATGGTGGTATTCTTGTGATATCTTCTTTTATTACGTTCTTTAGATTGTAGTTTGAAAAACTATCTTGATGAAAATGGCATCATGGTATGGAAAAGGTCGAAGACAAGGTGTGTTGTAGTGGATCTGCGGAAGAGTTCATCACACAATTCAAACAATATAGCGAACATATATGGACAAACGAAAAGAGTATTTCACGGGTAAATTCTCTCATCTGGTGTTGCTACAGGTTCCTGCTACAGCCACTGCATCTTCAAAGTGGGCTGAAAAGATGTGCCTATAAGATGTGCATATAGTCGATAATGACCGGGATAGAGCAGCTTTACCAATGGTACAAAACAAATGATTTTGGTAAAAATATAAAATCAAATGAGAAACTTAACGCAAGATTCCTCAACTTGGATCGTTTTGGAATTCGATTGACGTCCGAATAAAGCATACTCCTTTCATTTCCGGATTGGCAAAGTCTTGATATTTGTGCGGTCACATGATTTTTTAGTTTCTTCACTGCCTCGCTTGTTCATTCATAGTACGGTTTCACTTTTTCCCACAGGTTTTTGTTTGTTCGTTGCTTGGCATCTCTTCTTCCTCTTCTTCTCTTGATGACGGACGCTTGATAGAGGGCACCAAGTGTTCGACGAAATGCTCCAACCATGGTCTCTCTCAACTCAGGCCCCATTTCTTCTTTTGCTTCTCGGAATTCGCTGATTGATTCCGATACCCTTTTGCCTCTTTCTTCTTTCTCTACCTTTTATCCCAACTATTCTGCGAGACCGAGCCTTTTAGCTTCCAGAAAAGGTTGTGGGTCTGTTTTAGGGTTTCTTGAGGTCAAGCCGAGGAAGACAGATTGGGTTTTGAGGATGTGCAATAAGGGCAATTTGGGTTGGGATAGCGAGGTGACTAAGGATCTTGAAACTGAGATTTTGGAATTCATGAAGAATTCGGATAAACCCGGGATGTTTCCGAGCAAGAAAGATTTAATCAGTCGTGGAAGATTTGATCTTGTGGAGAGAATCGTAAACCAAGGTGGGTGGCTTTCCATGGGATGGGATTTGGATGAACAAGAAGAAAGGAAATCCGAAGAGGTCCGAGTAAACGAGAACGTCATGCTGCGGGATTTACATATCGAGAGACAGCTTCTTCATCATTGTAATTCTCAAGAAATTTGTAAAACCTTAAGTCATGAGGCTTTTGATCTTCCCTCAAACCCTTCATCTTCAAGAGAGTGAGTACTCTAAACCACTGTTCTTCTTATGCTATTATTGTCTGTTTGAATGTTAACATAGGTTCTGTTTCTATCAGAGAAGTGGATGCTAAGAATGAGAGTGGAATTGAAGGGATATTGACCAGATTGGAGAAAGAAAGGAATTTGAGTCTAGGGATTAGCTTGAGGGAGAAAGGGGAAAGCAATGGTGCCATGAATGATATCTCCCTAAATGGTTCAGTTCCTCGGTCTTCGATGATTGTGGTATGTTTTTTTGTCTACAAACTTTGCTCTTCATTGTACACAAATAGTCCTGTTAAATAAACTGTTTACGTCGTGAGGTGTTGTTGCCTATGTTTTTCAAAAGACAGCTAGTGAATTTCAACATGCCAAGTCAGTGTCTGGAACACCGGTCTTAAGCGATTCGCCTACATCAGAAACATGGAGAACATGGAGTATGAGGAGAGCTGGATTTACTGATGAAGATTTTGAAGGTATCAAGTGACTCCTGTCTTCTGCAATTTAAAGACTTACCAGGAAAAAGATCTAAAGCCTTAATACATGTATCGTACAGCTGCTGAAATTTCTTCCAGTGGTTTGGATGGTGTGAAGAAGGATAATATGAATAAGGATTCTGGTGATAGCATAAATGAAAAAGATAAAACTGCATCTTCCTCTGAAGATATAAATACAACTCATATCAAAAGCCGTCTTCAGAATCTCTCGTCAGAACTTTCTTCTGTTCTTCACTCCCTTAGATCTCAGCCTGATGAAGTTGTGACAAGTAAGGTAACATATGTTTTCATTTCTTTGTATGTAATTGTTTGACCGGAGAGGGTCTAGAAACACTTCTCTATTTGATTGAACTCCCTATCAAACTAGTAGCAATTCTATTAGTGATTTCCGTTTGGCTTATTTTTCTTTTATGATTTCATTTAGGATACTGAGATCAATTCTGGGAATTTGGAGAATCTCAATGATGATTGGGAGTTTAAAGAGAATGAGATCATATATGCCCAGAATAAGTTACGGTCTACACGGGCAAAGCTGGCAGTTCTTGAAGGAAAGATGGCTATGGCAATAATGTATGCTTTGCTCATTGGTTATATGCAAATATAGAGGAGGAAGCTAACACTATTTTCTCTCACATTAGTTAACTTTTTCTTATAGAGACGCGCAGAGGATTGTATGGGAGAAACAGAGAAAAATAGATCATGCTAGCAGAGCGTTACGGCTACTACGGACTGCATCCATAGTATGGCCTAATTCAGCCTCAGAAGTTCTACTAACGGGTTCATTTGATGGTTGGTCTACCCAGGTCAGTTCATATCAATAAAAACTGATTTATCCCAGTAAAGGAAATTAAAATGCTTCACATCTGCTGAATTTGTTTTACGATATTGCTAGCAGAGGAAAATGAAGAAAGCAGAGAACGGAGTCTTCTCTTTATCGCTGAAGCTATATCCTGGAAAATATGAGGTTAGATCATTCAATCAACTCAGTATCTGCAACTAACATTTTCCCCATTCCTGAGCGAAAGGAAAATCATAATCTTGCTACATTTTCCTCACAGATAAAGTTCATAGTTGATGGCCAGTGGAAAGTTGACCCGCTTCGACCCATTGTTACTTGCAATGGATATGAAAACAATTTGCTCATCATCTCTTGAGGTCAAAGGCAACAAGATTTCAGAACTAATCCCACTATCGATGGAGCATGAGCTGAATCAGTAGGGTTTAGTTTCTTTTGGAATTTCACTTTCATGTAGGGTAATGTAGCCAATGAAGCAGTAGGGCTAGGTTTTTATCTTAACAAAACAAGAAAGAAAGAGCTGTACATCTCAAATTTTCCATCATTGTAAACAACCACCTTGTTTCTCTGACAAGAATCATGTAAACAATTGGCTTCTTGCATTGTACAATGTTACACACATTAGATATTATACATCTATGTCTATAATGAATTTGCTGAAGAAGAAAGCTGTTGTTTTCGCTTTACTGCATAGGTAAATCCGCTTCCGCAGTATACTTCGATCTCTTTTGTTCGCAGGTCTATACTACCTAGGCTCACCAGTTGAGGATTTGTCTGATCATTGGTGTTTCCAAGACCTAGCTGACCATGTTCACCCCATCCCCATGTCTTAACTTCTCCACTTTCTGCAAGACATATTCAAAGGTTGGTTTGTTTTCTATCAAGAAGAAGTCTGAAGAAGAAAGAGGTAACAGAATTGCACCCTCCCATTTTACCTGTTACGGCAGCAGAATGCTCTGCTCCTGCTGCGATTTGCAGAACTCTGACTCCGTCGAAATCCGAAACTTTCTCCAAGAGAGGTTCACAGGAATCTACTTGCAGCTGTTGCTTCTCGGACTGTTTATCAAGGGTGTTACCAAGCTTGAAAACTTCGCCATCAACTGTTTAGCAAGTCCATTGACAGATGAATTGAGTTAAATGAGCTAATTGAAGAGATATTAATGTACCCACACAGAAATTACCAGTTAGTAGTAAAGCATGATTCCATCCTAAAGCAACTTCTCTGAAAGATAGCGATGTAGGCAAACACTGAGGGGTTTGAATATCAGGGCCGCCGCAGAATCCTCTTCCCCAACTAAACAACTGTCCATTAGCTGGTAAAGCACATCGGAAGACGGGTTTAACAGAAGATACACATGATTCGATCAATCAATGAAACTGTACGTGAGATTTAAGGATTAACCGGATGTAGCTGCACTATGATCTCCATTAGCTGATATACGAACAACCTCAACATCTTCAAATCCAGGGACAACACATGGAAGATTTACCGATTTTGTTCTGTCTGATGAGACACCCAACTGTCCGCGTTTTCCAGAGCCAAACCCACACACTTGATTCCCTGAAGAACACAAGATAAATCAAATGGAGAAACAACACTGGTCTAGCACTTGTCTTGCAAAACCGGTGATGTATCAGATGCTACCTGCGGACAAGACAAGTGAGTGGCGCATACCACAAGCTACCATCTTCACACTGTTATTGACAAAGTAAGGGACTTTAGCTGGAGTGGTTAGTGACATGTTATCACCGTGACCAAGCTGACCAAATGAGCCATTCCCACATGTGAAAAGGCAACCTGAATCTGCACTCACAAACACAAGACAAAAGGGAGATCGGTCTCCTGGTCCGAAAGAAGTTGCAAAAACTTGATTAACGTTTACCTGAAACAAAACCAGAGTGACTCCATCCAGCTGCGGCTTGAGTTATAACATAGTCATTGAAGAAAGATAGTGGTTTTGGCAAAGAAGTGTTGATGATGTCCCCATGTCCTAATTGACCAGAGCTTCCTCTTCCCCATGTGAACACCTTACCACCTGCAAAAAGCATACTTTAAATGTTGGATCAAAATTTAAGTAACCGAATCATAAGATTCCTTTATTGGGTTTTACTGGAAGTCAAGGCGATGACGTGAGCGCCGCCACAGGCGAGCATCGATATGGAAGGAAGTGACGTCAGCGAGAGAAGCTTGGGGAGATGCTCGTCTTGTAGCTTGGCCGTCCCCAGCTGGCCGTCCGTACCTGCGCCCCAGCTCCATACTTGTTCTTCATCAGACAGAGTCGGAGTCCCACCGTGTTCGGCCATTTCCGGTGGAATCTGGGTTTTGGTTTTTGGTCGGAAACACCGTGATTGAAATCTCCTCCGTCCTTGGTGACCTGATCTTGTTACTTTCTAACAATCGGACAAATCACCCGCCTGGTCAAGTTATTAGGGTTTTAGGGATAGAGACTTTTAAGTTGATTGGTTTGGTGCAGTTGAAAATCACCACAAACGTTTTTATATTGAATGGTTTCAACAAGCAACAGATTGGTTATGATTAGAGCGTTTGCATACTGTTTACTGAAACATCAAACAGACGAAATTACATGATTTTTTGTGTGTTTTGTATTGATCTCTATTGAATTTATGGATTCTGAGTTCTAACCATCTAGCGATTTTGAATCTAAGAATAAACAAAACTCAAACTCGTCGTTTACAATATTTGGTACTAGAATACACTAGACACCTTAAAAATGTACAGATTTTGTCGAATTTTCTAGAAAGCAAAAGAACACATCATGAGAAGAGGATTTTGACAAGAAGTGTAAAAGAATCAGAAGAGAAGAAATTGCTACATATATATTTTGACTAGATGCTGTTAAAGGATGTCGTCGTAGGCTACAATATCCCTGTGTTTAGATACCCTTGCCGTCGCCGGAGATCTACTGCTTCTCGGGTCAACAATGGCCGATGCTAGCCTGTTGCTTCTCCCATGTCTTCTTAATGAAATCTCAGGCCGGACAAGTTTCGAGGAAGAAGACGTCGGCGTTTTATCCACCAATGGATCCGTAGCCCAAACCACCTGCAACTGCAAACACAAAGCACCACAATCTATATCTCATAAACCCCAAATTTTACACTAATTGGTGATTAGGTCAAATCGATAAGCGAGTGTCATTACCTTTTTGGAATCGATGGAGATACCGAAAGAAGGCTCGTGACTGGCGGCAATAGCGGCTTCTCCTGACTCGGCTGTGCGGTATGAAACGCAGCCAAATCCGTCCTTGTCGATTCGGATTCGTGAGATTGAGCCGTAGATCTCGAATCGGGATTTTAGCTCCAGGACTGAACAGTTGGCGGGAAGTCCGATAACGACCAGCGAAGGTGGTGGAGGAGGTTTGGTGGTCGGCTTCTCGATGATCTCATCGTTTTCCGATGACGGAGGCACCCACTGTCGCCGGCGTTTTGAAATTCGCCCAGCCGGTATGTGGCGGTAAGGGTAGTAGGGTTTGTCTCTCTTGCGGCTCATACTCGGCAAACTCAGCGATTACACTACTAAAATTTTACTTTTATTTTTCCTTTGTTTTTGGAGAAACATCTATTGGGCTTAAGATTAATGGGCCTAACATTGGCTCCAGGCCCACATAGTAAATTGACAGAGGCAGATCGGTGGAGCCTACAAAGTCCTAAAATGTTTTCTAAAATCTAAACCTCCAATCATATTGTGCCACGTGTTGCTGAGGTGGCTTGATTCCGAAATATGTATGTGCACGAGTTTGGATTTTATGGTCCCACAGTTAGGGGTGGACATAATTCCCAATCCGTTCTGAACTTTACCATTCCCGGTTCCGAATTTTCGTTCCGTATTGGACCATATTTCCGTATGGTACAAGCTATCGATTCTCGTTTAAGATTAAGACGGGACTACAATTTTCGTTTGTCATGTTTTTTTTTCAGGTTTTTCCGTTCCGTCCCTGTCCACCGTACTTATTCCGTCCCAAATTGTATATGGGACACGAATGGAACAAATATTATAATTTCCAAATTTTTGTCCCGTTTCTATTCTCGAGAATTTCCGTTTACCCACTCCTACCCACAGTGATGTGGACTGGCTTTCAAAGATTGTGCTACTGAGTTCTGGACATCTCTATTGTTGGTGTGGTTCGGATAAGAGGAGTTTTGTCTATTTCAATTTTTAAAAGATCGATGGTATAA